AATCCTTATTACTTGCCTTGTTCCTAGGTAAGAGTTGTTTCCAGTCCAAGCTCTGAAGGTTCTTGGAGAGGATCATCCTTTTCTGTCGACAGGTAATGTAGATATCAGTATCATTTCTGAAGTGATTGCTGGTCACCATTGGTAATGAAAGGCTAGATGAAGTACTTTTTCTGACTCAAGAGTGTGAGGATTTTCAACTGTGTCCAGAGAAGGACGTAAATGAATGTTAAAATTACAATTTATTTTTCAGTGGAGGAGAAATGCAATCATTTTACAACTCTACAAGATCAGCATCAAACAGCTCACTGGTGGTGGCTAGTGGAATGTTTTCCTCAGGTAGAGTTTCTTTTAAGGAGAAATACTCTGTTTTTTTTCTTTTCCTCAATCCATTACACCCCTACATCAGTATGCAGATTCTCTATACATCTCCTAAGGTGATGACAAGGAAATATATTTTGACCAGTCAAGAGCATCTTTAGTTGGTGACCATTTCCTTTATTCTTGTGAGCTTAGTGTTTGATTCAGGGGTGATATTGTAAGGAGAAATTAGATGCTGGTCACTGATAGGGTTCAAAGTGTTGAATATGCGTTTTACTTTGGGTAATAGTAGTGTCCTATTGTCCAAACTTCACAATGACTCAAACTCAAACATGGACTCAAAATTATTTCCAGGATTTTTATTTAAAGAGTTATTCTTTTGCTTCTCATCGCATATTTTTTTAATTGAGAGGTTTCAATTTTACACAAACTGAATCCATACCGGTTTTTTAATCTGCAGAAGAAGATATAACCGACTGTAAAGCTCATACGTACCCGAGAAGGAGAAGTCACACGATTGGAGGACCAGATGTGGACTATAATGACGGTATGACACAGAAGTAAAATGATCGATAAACTTTCGTCTTCAACTCCTTCTCATTGAGCAATTTTCAGCAGTGTCCAAAGTGATGCGTGACTGTATTGGTTTGCTTTACTTTGCTCTCTGATTGGTTCAGAAATCTGGCGCCATTCTATCAACCAATCAGATGCAAAACTGAGACTAGCCTCGGTCGCCCGCGTTTTCCCGCGCTTTAGGCAGTTTTCTTGTTTTTACTTTGAGTTCTCATTGACTCTCAGAGGTGTCTTCCTTTCATGTGATTGGCCGTTGTAATTATTTTGATTGGCTCTCAATCAAAAAGTGCTAAATACAGGTCAATGTGTTTTCCACTAAACAAAGTTTTTGATGTCCTTCAGCCATTTCTTGAAATTTTTTTGACAACATGAATGAGTTTAATTTGGCAGAAAGGTCATAAAAATCCAAGACGAGAGAGACTAGCTTGGGTGAAATGTGAAAGTGGTTTTTTTTTTTTTTTTCATCCTTGGTTTGAATGTCTTGTGTTATCAAACCACAACATAGTCAGGTTTCTGTGAGCGAGCATGTAAGTTGATCTCTTTCTTTTTTATCCTTTTTCAGGAAGCCAAAGATACAATGGTACACAGAATTCTCGCAAACCAATTCCGCTGTCGATGAGAATAGACCAGCAAATTAGTCCTGCCAGCAGCAGTAGTAGCAGTAGTGGTTTGATCGCTGACATCGATATAAACACAAAAAGACCTGGAAGAGAGTCTGAGCTCGAAGTCGCCGTGCAGAAGCTTAAAGACATGTCAATAACAGAAACAAAAGGTAAAAAGAATTGAGCAACTTTATCTGCGAATGCATTGGTTTTGCTTTTCATTCGCTCTGTGATTGGTGCAGAAAACTCTCACCACACTTTCAACCAATCAAATTAAAATAAAACCAACCGCGACTTGGTACTCGCGTTTTCCCGCGCTTTCTGTAGTTTGCTCCTTTTTACTTTGAATTCTTATTGGCTACTTGTGATATTTACCTTTGTTCTGATTGGCTGCTGTGATTACTTTGGGTTTGGTTGTACGGCAGCCAATCAAAATGCGGTTTAGTATTTGTTCGGTTTTCCTAGCAGCAAACCATTACTCACTTATACTTCTGGGTGGAGTATAAGCGACACTTTGCAAGCACAGTGTTTACTCCCAAATAGAAACTCTGGAGAAGGCTTGAAGCCCAGTGCTCTAATCATTAGGAAAACGCCTGTTGCTGTGCCACAGGAATACTACTTTAATTTTATTACAAATCAACATGATGGTTAAGATATGCGAAGGAGTATGATATAGTGTGGTTCCACTTTATTTAAAGGCCTAGAGACTTCAAAGTCAAGTTTTGGGATCATTACGTTGTTTTACTTCTGACAATTAATTCTGTGATGGACAATTTTTCCCTCAGTGCTTGAGGTGCCTCGAAACTGGACGAAAGGGAAGCTTCTCGGAGCAGGAGCGTTTGGTCAGGTAAGATTTGATACATTTATTTTGGTTGCTTCTTGATCTTATCAGACCTTTTTTCACATTGTAAAGCAACATTACTTACAGGACAAACGTTACTTACGCTGCGTACATTTCTTCCAACATTAATAATACTTGCACTACAATGCTTAAAAAACTAACTTTACATACATGAAGCTAGCGTTAACTTCCAACGTAACATTTTTCAAGGTCTGAATCTCTTACGCTACGTACATAACTTACAATACTGACATTGCTACATCTTTTCTCGGTATATAAAGTGCCACTTTTTTAATTTACTTTTTTTCATTTTATATCAATACCTCTGGTTCCACGGCTCTGTTTACTACTATGCATTAGAAAAAACACATTTGTGTTCCTAGTGACTAAATTTTATGCTTTAACAAACTAAAGTATATGATTCAGGCAATGAACAACGAAGACCTTTTCCCTTGGGGTGTAAGCGTCTTTGTTTGGACGAAGAATTCCTGTCATGATTTTACTAGTTGTGGGTAAATTGTCATTAATTTGAGTTGTTTCTTCTTGTATAGGTATACATGTGTCATGACCATGATACAGGGAGCGAATTAGCCGTCAAACAAGTTGAAGTTGGGCTCCTCAATACTGCGACCCAAAAGGTTTGTCATCAACTTCCAGCAACGGGGGAAGTGACCAAAACAGCATTTCTCCTTACAATATCGATACAATATCAAGCATACAAGAGATGAGAGTCGAAAAAAAATGTCTTAGGGGATTATTAGTTGATCCAATACCGAATTATCCGGGGAAGTAACATCATAAAAATTGTATGGCACACAGTAAGGAAAATTACTAATGAGATCTTGGCCGCAATAGGGTTAAACCAGGAGAGCATTGAAAGAGAAGCTTGATCTATAAACCACGAAATTTTATATTTACTATTTAAAAGTATGGATAAATATTTTACGGCGTTTCACGTCTTGAATTCTCTTCAAGTCTCTTAATCGTTCGAAAATTGTCTCCAAATTTGGTAAAAAGTTTGGCTGTGGACGCCGCCATTTTATAAAGCACTCAGTAGCCTGGTCGTAAGATTGGTGTTAAAGCTTTATGGTTCTTTGTTTTTCTTCAGGAAGTGAAAGCTCTCGAAGCAGAGATCGATCTTTTAAAGAATCTCAGACACGACAGAATAGTGTTATACTATGGGACACAACAGACAGATCTGCATGTCTACATATTTATGGAATACATGCCTGGGGTGAGAATTGCCAGATCAATGTCAGTATCTGAAAAACTACGCATCTACTCCTCCCCTAACCCAACAAGAGTCAACGGATAACAAGTTAGGGTTAACGTTGCGTTAGGGGTGGCGTAGGTGCACAGTTTGGATACTAATCCAAATTTCCTAATTAAAATTAACTTAAAAGTATAACTTGTATTCATCTGTTGTCTTCTTTAACTGTTCTGACCGTTTCGTATCCTTGCCAGCTCTGCATTTAATGCGTTCCTTTTGAATCTGTATGCGGTTCTAAGCCGTCATTTTTCTGATTAAGTGTATTCCAGGATTCGTTTCAAATGATTTAATAAGATTAAAGCTAAAGTGGTCATATGGTAACATTAGCCAATCAAAACAAAGGGTAACATCAATAGAAGCCAATGAGAACTTAAACTTAATAAAGGCAAATGGCTGATAGCGCGGGAAAACGCGGTTGAAACGCGGTTGGTTTCAGTTTTACGTCTCTCTGGTTAAGAGGGGCTGGTATAATTTGAAGACCAATAGCAGAGCGAAAAGAAGGCCTATGCAATTCAGGAGCTCCTTCGACACCCAGTAAAAAATAAGACTATTTTCAGTCTAGTTGTGTAAAACTCGTTTACGCGCCGAGTGTTTCTAATGCAAAACTTGTGTGTTGCTAACCATTCTGTTGTTCCTCTTCTGGAAACTAATGCATACTTTTTTAATACATTCCACAGTCATCGGTACACGACCATATCAAACAACATGGTGCTCTCAATGAGAGTTTAACGAGAAAATATACAAGACAAATTCTAGAAGGAGTGTCTTTCCTTCACGCGACTCTAATTGTACACAGAGATATCAAAGGTAAACTGAATGAGATTACTACACCCTAGAGAAACAGTCTATTGAGTGCTATGATACAGAGCTGATTGCACATATATCCTTATTGCATAGGTCGAAATTCAAACAGCAATGGATCTGGAGATGTTTTAATGTGTTTTTTTAACTCATTGCTCGCCTTTTCTCTGACGAAGCCTTTGTGTGGCCTAAGCCCTAAGCATCAATTTTTTAAGGAGGGCCTAAGGGGTCTGGCACTAGAAAGCCGATATACCTGATACTTCTCTGGGCTACAGACATACCTTGAGATGTCAAAACTTTAAATTCTATGGCTTAAATTTGTCAGGAGTTGTTGTCATAACGAAAAAGGCGCGAAGATCGATAAAATTTATACCCGTATTGAAATATGAAAATACCGCACATGAGTATAAAAGAGGCCTGATACTTGACTACGCAAAACTGGCTGAAGATAGCAACAGAAATACGTCTTTTGGAGATATTAAGAAACTAATTACGATTATCATATAATCTACTTATTCAGTTTTTTTGTTCTCTATAATTAAGGTGCAAACATCCTTAGAGATCTTCGTGGTAATGTGAAATTAGCCGATTTTGGAGCGTCCAAGAGATTACAGGTAACTCTACTCAATCACTGAACCTTGTTCTCAAGTGAAGAAGAAGACTTAAAATGTGCTTTGTTACTCTGAACGTTTCTGATCCTTGGAATTTTCAATTTAGGTCTTGTTAAGATGTTTTTTGCTCTTTTGTATTAAAGCCACGGACCAGTAATTTTATGTGGTACTACTGCCTTGTCTTAACACCTTCATCTTTCAATATCGCAGACAATTCGAAGTAAAACTGGTTTTCGATCAGTTCATGGCACTCCATACTGGATGGCACCAGAGGTGATAAACGGGGAAGGCTACGGGCGCAAGGCTGACATCTGGTGAGGAACCGGTCATGTTTTTAAAATATATGTCAAAAGTCGAGTTATATTAAGTTTTAACAACTTTGTAGAGGGCGTTAAGGAGAATTTTGATTGTGAATTTGCTTTGTCTCCAGTGTAGATATGGTATGATGTCTGGTGAAGCACAATTTTAGTTGTGAAACTAAATTCTCCTTAATCGAATGATGTACTACTTGTACAACTTTCTGGAGGGCTTTAAGGAGAATTTTGATTGTGAATTTAATTTGTCTCGTGTAAATGTGGTATGATATCTGGTGAAGCACAAGCTCAGTTGTGAAACTAAATTCTCCTTAGTTGAATAATGTAATACTTGTCCAACTTTTTAGAGGGCGTTAAGGAGAATTTTGACTGTGAATTTGCTTTGTCTCCAGTGTAGATTTGGTATGATATCTGGTACAGCACAAGTTCAGTTGTGAAACTTAATTCTCAAAAGTCTAATGATGTAATACTTAACAGCTTTATAGAAGGCGTTAAGGAGAAATTTGATTGCGAACTTGCTTCGTCTCTTGTATAGGAGTCTTGGATGCACGGTGGTAGAGATGCTGACGACGAAGCCTCCATGGGCGGAGTTCGAACCAATGGCGGCCCTGTTTAAGATTGCAACGCAGCCTACAGAGCCTTCGCTGCCGCACGATCTGTGTGAGGACGCCAGGGAGTTTATTCAGTCCACTCTGACAAAGTGAGTACCTAGATACGGACTTTCCTGAAAAATGTTGTGTTTGTTGGTAGGATGGGGGCGGCAGAGGAAGATCGTTTGTTAGGGTAGATTCACAGGTACATTTTCTAGGTGGCAATTTTGGCTCTGATGATACGATGAGCCTGCGATGCTTCCAAAGATGTTGCTAGGCATCATGCTGGTTCGACGCACTTTTGGTGAGATATTCTGCTCTATCTAGCTTGCTTTGTCTCGGAAACTGTGACCGTTTCAATTAACCAAATTCAAGAGAAGACACTAACCCTCCTCAGAAGAATGATAACTGTAGCTTGTTATATCGTAACAGGAAGCGTTGGTTAGTAGCAGCAACAGCACTCTTAGAGAGTAACAGAGCAGAATCGGCTTTACAATAGTATTGCCAAGGAAAATCATAAAAACGGAAAAGTTGAAATTACACTACGTAGTTGTTGAAAAAATTAGCAGCATCAAGGAAACACAGACGAAGCAACAGTCCTATATGCCGCAGCATTAGCTATGGAAGCATCAGCATTAGTGTCAGAAGTCAGTAGTAGCAGTAGTCTCTGAAGATGGCGTCAGCGGTTGTAGCTAGAGATTATTGCAAAGAGTGAGCAAGGATGCCGGTGACCATAGCCATAGGAAGTAGTTGCTTGGGACGAGAGAACGCAACTTTAGAAAGCCTTGCCAGGCAATATCAAGGTTGATAGCCACGGCTTCGGTAGAAGCGGTGATAGCTTTAGATGCTGGAGGGTGTGGTAATAATGGAATTGGGAGAAGATGAATCAAGAACACTTGCCGCAGTGAGATACGTAGGTAGACTAGGCAGGCATTGTTTCGGGGGTAGTCCATGCAGTGATAGATGCGTTACTTGTTGTAGATGCAAAAGAAGAGATAGTTGTTGATTAAGGAGATCAGGAAAAGAAATATTTACGATAGTTACAGCGTGGCTGGCTATCCCAGGTTTTGGCAAGCCTAGTGGTGGTAAGTTCAGCGTCATGTTCATTAGGAAGTGGCGGCACTGGAGTTAGGATAAGTACGAAGTACATGCGGTAGTGAGAGCGGAAGTCGAAGGAGAGATCAGGTAGTAGTTCAGAGTAGTAGCATCTCTGTCAGTTGCTGTTAGTGTCAGCAGTGGATGAAAATTTGTTACAGAAGCTTCATCAGGTTTCGCCTTTTTGTCAACTATGGTTAAGTAATCTCGCTGCTTCATAGGAACTCTTGGCAAAGGCCTTCGGCTGACGAACTGCTGAACTTCACCTTCGTTGTAAACTCCGCAGTAACGACATGTTTATGACGATCGAAAAGAGCGAGCGATGTCTATGACGAGGTATCCTTGTAAGTCAAGGACTTTCTGTCGTTTGAAAAGAGTGGGTGATGAACTTCATCACGACTTTGCAGTCAATCCTTAGGAATATCATCAAAGTATACTTTACAACAAAATTGCCAATTAAAAACGTTGAGCTAAAGGTCATTTGATGCGGGCAAGCTAAGGATCTGTGATAAGAAGGCATTATCATCCCGATGGAATAATCAAGGGAAGTTTCAAGCATCAAGAAGAGAAATTCGAAATACAAAGTGAGAAGCAAACTGAACTAGAACGCATTGACGTTGATTTCAACTACGAGCGAGAGTTGAAGAATTTTTCACAGTAGTATTAATTATACATTTTACAAGCGATGAAATTTTTGCCGATAATTCTTCTCGTTAGACGTGGAGGCTAAAAAAACATCCTTAACAGGAGAGGTTGTGGTATAGAGTATAAAAGTTTTAAAACCAATATTTTTTAAATTTACTCCTCTACGAAGAAGACGAGAAAATATTTACATATTATTGTACTGTAATTGTTTATAAATATGTGATTCTTTGCTTCTTCGTGCCATTCAAAGCCGACACCGACTTTTCACGAAATTGTACTGAAGATTGCACGAGTCGTGGACTTTTAAGCGTGATAACTACAAACATTCTGGCAACAGGAGTGATATTTTCAGTTCTTTGTAGAGCTATGTTGGAATTGTGTATGTACCAAGAGAGTATCAAGCTAAGAGGCTGGCTTCCTTGCGATGAACATAGAGTTAAAGGAATCCCTCTCAATATATTTTCCGACTTATTTTCTGTGGTCTCTTGAGAATAGTGTCACAATTACCAGACATATAACTTGAATCTCTTATTGGAGAACAACTACATTCAGCATTGGATGTCCAAGTGCGGAAATATCGCGACGCGAAATTGGTTGTTTTCTTAGATCCTCCAAGGATATCTGAAATTAGTAGTGATTTCAAAATAGTTCACATGTTCTTTTTTTCGTGCTTGGCAAGCGTGAATCTGACTTCAAGTTGTCCTCCACTTTTCACCGGTTACATGATTGGCGCGCTCTCAATTGCCACATGTTTCCCGCACTTGACTCAGGTTTTGTCAGTTTAATTTATTTTTTCCCGCTCTTTTCTTTTCGCTTGGTACATATTTGGCGCGCCTGCCAAAAATTTTTGCGCGCTTGATGCTGATTGGTCCCACTGGTCCATGTTTCCGTTGCGTGAGGGTTTGTGGGTTTGTGGGTTTGAGTTTGACAATTGTGATACTAGTGTCAGTGAGACCAAAAGAGATTTAAGTCAACCGGAGATCTTAAATTGGTTACTCTGAAATTATTCTAAAGAAGCGTGTACATGAAGCCTAAGATATTGAGTTTTTTTACGATATGTAAATAATTAAGCTTGTCAATAGAGGCGTTCTGTTTTTTCGAATTTTGTTCGTTCTGAACAAGTGATATTTTATATGACAGCTTGCTTCAATAAGTCATACAATGAAAATTTATATTGTATAATACTGCTGTAGATAAGGCATAGGTTGTAGATAGGTTTCATCGATAAAAGATCAATTTATGGCTTTCTTAGTTCTCCAGCTACAAAGCCCAAATTCAAATAATTAATATTTTCATTGACAATTCATCGCTTCCCATAATAAACTGTCGAATGTGTGGCATGAATGTAAATGAAATCAGTAGTTCTTGTTTAAAGATCGCCACCATGGTTTCATCCAAATAGCTAAACCTTGGAACCACACATTGCAGCAGAACAAGAATTGTTATCACTTTGTCGGGCATTGTAGCGCATTTTGCGGGCTAAAATGTACTTTAGCCCGCTCGCACGCTCGCGTTTCTGTTCAAAATTTTTTTGGTCATTTTTTTAAAGTTTTTATTTTCTTAATGCCTTCCAAAGTGATGATAATAGTAAGACGGTGTGTGTTCTTGGATACTGATATGTTTTGGGCTCTTCTTAGATCATTTTAACCATCGCTCCGGCTCCGGCCAAAATGACTCGGTGTCATAACACACGGAAGTTCTGCTCATTGGCTTCTAGACATAAGGGTTTCTTCCACGCACTTTTAAACGAGAACTACTTTGTACATCGTGATACACAATACCACTTAACAGTACTACTTCATTTTAATGGTCACAGGGGTATCTTACACAGACATAAATCATGAACATTAAAGGGTGATTTTTGATAAGTGTCGTTAAAGGGGCCAATGAGAACTCAAAGTAAAAACAAGCAAACCGTCTGAAGCGCGGGAAAACGCGTGTGACCATGTCGAGGTTGGTGTTGGTTTTGCATCTGATTGGTTGGGAGAATGGCGCCAGTTTTCTGGACCAATTACAAAGGAAAGTCTAGCAAAACCAATGCAATTCCCGATTATTGTCAACGCCCAGTTGACAATTGCTCTAACAAACAGCACCACTTAGAGCTACTTCGTGTTAGTTTAATCTATACGTAAATATTCACCTCATTCGGTGGCTCGTCATTCAAAATGGACTCTGGAGCCAATGTAAATTGTTAAGTGACTCCTGATCTTACAATGTAAAGTAATTCCAACAGCTGTCGACAAATTTGTTTTGGCAAACAGCTTGAGACAGTGAAATAGATTGTTATATTTGAAAAAAAACGACGAAAAAACAAGGAATAAAGTATTGCAATATTAGTGCATTGTGTGAAATAAGAGGCTTCGTTCAGATTCTAAGCTGAGTAGTGTACTGAGTAGTGAACAATGGAGAGTGATTTCTTTGTATACCTCCTCTTTGGTACTGTTTGTAACTCCCCGAGTTGGAAAATTTCAGCTCCACTTCAAAACAGATAGATGACATTGTATGAGCCATTGGGCTTATAATTTGCGTGTTTCGGCCGAACGCCAGAAGACATACAATTAATGAAGAAAAGCCATAGGTAACAAGCCCTTTATGATGAACAATATCACTTGAAAGAGAGAGAGGAAAAAAACAGAAATTGCTATCTTCGTTTGCAATATCACTCTACTCTACCTAGTAACCGCCAATTACAACATCATAATTATAACAAAACAGAGAACAACAGCTGGGCAACCAGTTACAAAACAAAGTGGTAGGAATGTTGGTCGGAAAAAAAACAACTGCTGAAAAACAAGGAAAAAGGACAGGAAATCTGGGTGGCAACCAGGGACAAGCTCTTTTAGACCATCTTACGAGGCCATATATTAAATAACATTCAGAAAAGAAAAGATTACAATGAGCGGTGTCGGCTTTAATTGCTCATTTGCAATCTCAAGATGAAATATCCGTACAACATTACCCATCATTCAACCCACGAAGATGCCGGCGCCTAGGGCCTTTTGTTCTCGTGCGGCAGAAGCATTTAATTCCGGCTAATCCGTAAGCATTCGAGGTCCGGAAATTCCATTCTTCATCATTATTTGTCCCCCACTTGAGACAAAATTGTTTTTCGTACCCAGATCTTTGACTTCTTGATCTTTTGTTATTTTCCCTGTTCCCCAAACCACCCCTCCCTTGACGCAAGTTGACGCTTCAACGTCTGCGAAAGTATCACGCACAATTACGACAATTTGTTTAAAACTCAAAAGCCAATAAACTCTTGGAGCTATTATTAAACATGACCATTTAAGCCTGAATGTGAAAGATTATTGGGTACTAATTGGCGACTTTCGAAACTGAACGGTTTTAGCGAAACAAGATTAACAATTTCTCTACAGCTATCGAGCTGAGGAAGGGAGTTTAACTAAAAACTGTTTTAATTTGAATATTCGACGAATGGAACAGGATATCTCCAAAGATAGCAGGGAATGGGCTTTTCGAAAAAGGCTGGATGGTGATTTTTTTGACGTGCCACACGTAAAGGTAAGATTTGTTTTCATTGGGGGAAACGACCTTACATGCTCTCATCATAGCGACTCCGATTAAAATTTTTCCAAGGAAAAATAACCTTTGCGACAAGGATTGCATTCTCAAAGCAGAAAATATCACGTCAAGCAATTAGATAATCGGAGAGAAGGCGGTTTAAATTTTTGCAATTTAGAGATATTTATGTAACAGCGGGTATAAGATATACCTTCGACAATAAAAACATAATATTTTTGTTGAATTTAAAATGGCAATTTCTCGGCTGAAACATCAGCCGGATGAGCGAAACTTTGTAAGATTGCCAATCCAGGGTGCTTATTAGTGAATACTCATGAATTTCCTGTGCTATTTTGGCGGTTTTACACTGTATTCGTGATGTTATATCATTCTTCGTTGGGCCGTGAACATTCGCAGCATGTGGGATCGGCCGGGTGCCCGGGTTTAAAAACTAGAGAAAGAATCCGCTTTAAATTCGCTCTTTGCTCGAAAAAGCTGTCTCAGAAAAACGATGTAGGCAACAAGTTACTCTTAAGGCAAGGCTCGACATTCACATTCCTTTTATAAGACGCTACAAGCGATATTACTATTCAGTGTTCGATAGCAGAAAATTGCTTAAATGACATTCACTGAGGAGATTCCTGAACGCATTGCGCTCCTATGTTGTCTAATTGATCTTATCTATGTGTAAAACACTTATCAATACACTAATGAAGAAATCTATACCCACAAAAACTACGGGTAAGTCACAAGCTATGAGAATAGCCTTGCATGAAAAATTTCGCAGACGCACGCATATGGAATTCAAGACTCTTATGTTTGAGACGATCGTGCAATACCGTGCTACAAATAGATATGAGAGCCCTTAAACCAAATTTTACTTTCATTCAACACCGGAAGATCTGTCCTTCACTATGGATCGAGGCGAAGCAATGAGGGAAGGGGAGAGGAGGAGGAGGAGGGGTTCAGCCTCTCCTCGAACGATAATTGTGGGGGCAAAGCTTTCCCTTCCCCGCTAAGACTTTTCAGAACGAAAGTTATCGCAATTGAAGCATGAACTGGCCTATAACAATATTTAGTCTCGCGCGAGCGATGGTATCAAATATCACTACAAGACCCTTTTTGGACAACGTGCTTATGCACTGTTCCAAAATGTATGACGAACATCCGGGCTCCGGTTGACCGAAGGATGAATAACGCTATCAATTAGATAAATCTCTATCCGGTGAAAACCGCATTAAGTTAATATTAATATTAATATCATTATTATTATTATTATTATTATTATTATCATTATTTTATTTTTTTAACGCTCATCCACTGGAAAACAATTAATCTGTTGGATAGCGTTACCCACTCTTTGAATAACTGGTCCCTTGTTACTATTAATACTGCGAAGAGCTTTGCTTGTAACAACGAATTAGGTAAAATACATTTTTAGGAAAGTTGAAGCAGCATGACCCCCACCCCTACCCTCGGCTTTTTAAACTGCCCTGCCGTCTACAAAGGGCTCAACACGAGATACCATCGCCTCAAAATTGTTGCTCCAAATTAAATATAGGTAAAAAGTCGTACGTATTCGTGATTTCATAAAACACTTTCATGTGAGTTTCACAGTAATAGGACGAGCTTCCTGTTTTCATATTTCTTTTGCTACAATAATTTTCATTTTAGTTCTTTGATAATCCGGGAATACTCTGTTTCTGTTCTCTGATGCTTTATGATTGGTCTAAAAAACGCGTGCCATTCTCTCAACCAATCAGATGTTAAAACTGAAATCGGTCGCAGCTTAGTCCTGATGCAGCAATTTACTGAACTATACTTTAAGTTTTCACTCCTTATAATAGATTCTTTGTTCTGATTGAACGTTGTTTTACCTTGGGTTTCGTCTGCGACACTATAGAATGCGCTGTATTCATATCACATATCAGTTATTTCCTTGGACATCATGTTTGCGGTTGTTCCTCGATCCCCCCTTGTACCCAAGTGGGTGACTGGCATCCAGTTCTTCACGGGACCCGCCCCAAACCTCTTTCGTTTATTATCGCGCTTGGCTTTCGGGACAGGCTAAATTCTCCGAACTGTATCACTACTGAATCAAGCGTTAAGATCACGAGGATGAAGGAAATCAACAACTGTGAAGAAGCTCTTGATTGATAAACAAATTCTGATTGTCAGTACTACAGGAAATGTATAGAGAACAGTATTTGTGAATATACATACTGATGTTAGGATTGAAAAGTACTTAGCTTCTCACAATGTGAAGGCACCGTATATATCTCAACATTAACGTCATTAGTACAAGAAATACTCTGTACTGCAATGATTGTCTAAACCAAAAAGAGTTCTCATGATGTCAAACTCATGAATGCATCAGAAAGTTTCCGAAAAAAGACCTACCTGATTTTCCCATAGTCATTTTGTAAGATTTCCTATACTCTTCAAATTGGAGAAATGAGTATGCGGTCGATTCAAAAAAAGGCAAATCCCTACCCTCCAGTCCCTGATTGCTAACTGATTGCCTGGGGTTGTCCCTTAGGGTTTGTTGACTGGCGCCCAAGGATTGAGCAATTTTCCCAGGTACCTCCTCGGGTACACTAGTAAACAAATTCTCCATGTTTATATTTCGCTGACCACCGATCGAGAACGTATTTTTCGAATAGTAAGCTTTGTATTTCTAAGGCTTGGCCTCTTGAGTCAAAATATAACATCCAAAGAATTTGCTAGAGTTGCGAAGGCGAGCAGATCTTGTTTATTTTGACGAAGAGCTCTTTGCATATGGATGTGGCCATTGGTCAAATATGACCTGCACTGAAGCGAGGGAATTCTTGTCAGCATAATAACACGATTTTTTCAAACGTAACTATATACTTTCTTTGCGGCGAATGTAATGCTGAGCAAGGATATGGACGTGGTCATTTCTGAAGTTGTCATGGAAGGAGTATTGGCATGAATCGGCTGCTTTCTGTGGTTGTAAATCCCTGGCGAAAATGGATGACCGGACAGATTCAGATCACGATGGTGTTCTCTCAGATGACCAACCTCCACATGCGACAGTATGCAAAAAGGTTAGGCGGTAGATTTTTTCTGTAGGTGTCAAGTCAGGGATGCAGAAATCTAACTTAAGGCTTTAAATAATTTACTCGCTTTATAACTGGTCAAGGGAAGAGCAGTAATAATCCGTGGCTTTGTTCAAAGGTGACTAGAATGTCTCACTGGTTTTCGATTCAGTGCGGCGCATCGCTCAAATGTCAGCTTGAAATTAGACCACGGCTCTACTTAAGCTGAGAGCCCGATGCTTGTTAAATATGTATTCTAGGAACTTATCTTCTGTATGCCTCGAGATCACTGGTGTTTTAAGCTATTCCGAGCCATCTTGTCTAGTTAAATTAAAACCAAATGCTCTCTTGGCCTCTTTGAATTTTGACTTGCTACTTTTGATGAATATTTCGGTTTCTAAGACGGAGCGTTTGAGATCAAATCTTCCATCTCACACAAGTCAAAACCGCAATTCCTGATATATTTTCCAGTTTACTAACCACCCACATGATCTATTTTGCTGCAATATCTTATTTTATTTCGTAATTTTTAAAATATCAGATAATTTTCCAAGCATCGGGTCGTGCCTGAGTGCCTGTATTGAGCAATATACATGAATTTCTTTAAAATTGACATGACATATTTCACTAATACTTTTACACGATTTTTCTCGCTCGGCAATATTATAAACATTTATTTTTGTTCGTTTGATTTATTAAGGTGTTTATCTTAAAACTAGAGTTAAGGTCGCAAGGATTTTTGTCCTGTATGATTAAAAAAAGCGATTCTTAAACTCTTAGAAATTGTACTTGCCTAATATATTCACGCGGGGTCTGGTATTTTGAGAAAGAGGTCGGGCTATTGTCTCAGTCGTTTTCAGCTGGTTACCGTAGTTTCTCTTGTGGATCATTAATTGGAATCACGTACGCACGATAGGATTCATTTCAAAGCGAATTAAATACAATTTCGTTCAGAAAACACGCGTCGGAACCAAGTCATGTGGGGAAGAAATCATTGATGATATGTTCACGATCGCCTTCGATATTTGACATTCCATCAAACTAACCAAAGCGAAGTACAGTACCGCAGCGTTACAATATACAGTATGTCTTCATTTCTTTAAACGAAGCTTGATTTTAAGGAATTGCAATGTTTCTGCATCATACCGCAGTCACAGTTGTATTGGAGATGTATTGAATATTTAGGAAAACACCTCAAATGCGGAGATTAGCAGAAATTATAATTATACTTGAACCAATTCAACAGTTGTATACTGTTCTTTTGTTCCAATTGTTTATGCGTTAATTTCATCTCTCGGTTAAAAATTATAAACAGTTTGCACCAGTGATTAGTTAAAGCTTAGGTTGCACTCAAGCCAAAATTCAGACAAGTCTGTTTTAAAAACCTCCAAACCTGTCAAAATCTTGTCTGAAGATGACCTTGTCAAGTGTGATCAACTGGTTTTTAGACATAGACATAGCTAGGAATAAAAAAGGCCACTATTCTGCTGAGGAGCAGAACTTTCTTGGAACCATAAACACTTTGTGTCTGTCTTTTGACAAAATTTTCCATCTGTTCAGTGATCCTTGAAGAACTTATCACTGCATATTTCATTATTTTATGAATAATATTTTTTTTTGTCTCAACTACCCATAGGTTTATTTTTCAAATAGATTGTTTATTTTGGGAGAACAGCTCCAACTTGTATGAGGGCAAGAGTTATTAAAACCTTCATTTGCATTACACTGATGTGCGGTGTTTTGCAATGAAGAGTGGGGTGGAAGGAGGGTAGGCAACAATTTGGAAGCAGGTAGCAAGCAAGGAGGGGAAACCACACCTTCCTGACTCTCCCCTTCCTTCCCCCTCATCCAATCAAAAATTGAAAACTTGATCAGGTTTTGTACTCTTTAAACCTTTAACTCCCATTAATATCAAATTTGTACTTCTCCTTACTGTCAGCCATACAATTCTTTTGATGTTAGTTTGTAGAATTTAGTATTGGATCAACTAATTATCCTCAAATTGATATTTTTCTTTATTCTCATCACTTATCTGATTGATATTATGTCAATATTATAAGGAAAAATTCTGTCTTGGTCACTCATGGGAGTCTAAGGGTTAACTAAACAGAATGTGTGAAACAGATGTTTAATATGATGCATTTGTCATGGTGCATCACTCTTTTAAGTCATTAGATGATAATAGGAACTTTGGACCAAATTCAGCTATCTTTTAGGAGTTTTAAAACCATTTAACTCTTTATACCTGAACAAAAAACATACATATTCTCTGTACTGTTCCCCGAACATTTCTTAAGGTGCTGACAAGGAGAATTTGTTTCCCAAAAAACAAGTCTTAGAGCAGTTGTAACATCAGTGGAATGAAAAAAATACAGCTATCATTCTTCTTGAAGATAGTCAAAACAAAAAAGGGAGAAAAGCTGCAAACAGTGTGGTGTTTGATGTTTTTTTTAATCCATTGGTGTAAATTTACCATTAGGTCATTTATTCAGTGAGATCAAGCTTGTTCGATTCAATTAAAGCATGGTTCTTTATTGATTTGCCATTGTTTTGGATGTGAACTTTCTCTCAAGACAATATTCACAAAGCAGACTTGAAAAAACCACACCGGAATCAAAAAAATCTTTTCCTCAGACTGAGATAAGTACTCACACCTGTGAAGGGAAAAATTACACAAGTAAACCACATGTGAATTCAGTTGCACCAAATGTTGCAAAAGAGTCTAAGTTGAAATGTACTTAGATAATCCTTTATAAGCAAAGAAATTTCACAAAAGTATAAATGCTGCATGGACTGAGAAGAAGCTTATGCCAGCAAGAAAACAGTGGGGAAGAGAATGCCGAAGAAAATCTTGCCTCTATCAGACCATTCTTTTTCGAAGTTTCCTCATAAAAGGAATGGCTTCTGTCTTGCATGGAAGCCAATTTTAACTAAGGTCAGAAGCCAACCAAAATGTTGTGGCTCAAAATTAATATGTGGTTGTACTGGTTTGAAACTCATTTGCTTTGTATTTCTCTATTTTCTAATACATTACCATAATATGTAAACAAAGAAAAACACAAATCAAATAAGTTTAAAACTGGTTTACCTTGAGATCTTATAATATGTTTTTATGAATTAAGGTCAAGTCACCTAAGGTTCAACTTGCCAACGCCAACTCGCCGACATATAAAATCAAGTAGAGACATCAGCAAGTTGGTCTTCAATCCAGTACAACTTATTAGAAGTTAAACATATAGTAAAAAACATTTTTTCTTCCAACAAAGTTTATATGGATCTCAAGGTGAATAAAGCAAGGTAAACAATGCCAATGACTATAAAAGCTTCAGACACGAATGAGTTATTGTGTGACAACAACACCATAAAGACTCATCATGTCAATCAGTCAGATTTTTTCAAGAAAACTTGGCTTTCTAGACTAGATCTTTAGTAAAAAACAATTCTTTTTATTTCCAACAATGTTTATGAGGATTTCAAGGTGAGTAAAGCAAGGCAAACATTGCCAACGACCAAAAAAGCTTTTGATGCGAACAAGTTTTAACTTCTTCACATCTAAAGCTGTTTTGGTCATTGGTGATGTTTACCTTGCTTTATTTGCCTTGAGATCCCTATAAACTTTGTTGGAAATAAAAATAATTGTTTTTTTTAACCAAAGATTTTGTCTAGAAAGCCAGGCTTTTTTTAAAAATCTGACCAATTGACATGATGAGTCTTTACAGTGTTGTTGTCACACAATAACTCGTTCACGTTTACAAGCCTGGTCATTGTACTTAAGATTTCATGTAGGGGATCCAACACATTGCCAGCAAGTCATTGTCAATCTTTTGTTATAGATGGAGAAGCTTATAAATCAGATGCAAGACGAAAAAGCTGGAGTACCCATCAGAACAGTAAAAAGCTTCATGTCCAAGATTCCAAGTGTTTTTACTGGTGAGATTATTTTAATTATTACACTGCACTTTGATATGGCAGAGTGTTAAGCAGTGTGGGCAAAAATGCTGACTTGGGAAGATGCTGATTTAAAAAAATCAATTTACACTTTAAGAGAGAATTTCGCAAATGACCAGATGTGTTTACTGTCTTTTATAGCACTACACATCAACTTCAGCATAACCTTTGTGAGTGGTGTTAAGTTCCAAATAAATAATATTCTGTCTGGTGTTTGGTTCTTAGACTAGGAAAATTTTGGGGATTTCACTTTGTTTTGTAAAGGGTAGCTAGAATTGTAGTTGATTCCAAAATTGGGGCGCTTGAAAAAATGGTTTTAAACTGCTCAGTGCAGTCTGGCCAGAATCCCTTGTAAAGTGTTGTAAATTAGCTCAGAATACTCTCCTGGTAGAAGGGTATCAAAAGTTACTGAACCAAATTAATTTCAAGAGTGACAAAAAAGGACTTTCTCCATTTTTAAGCAGAGGGGTGATAGATCAGAAGGAAAATATCAAATACAGTATAATTATTGTTTGAATCAACATGTGGCACCAAATTCTCAGAGCTGAAATTGTCAAAAATAAATGGTATACAGTTATTGAAATTGATGTTTACGTCTCGGAAGTCAAAGGGTTGCAGTTTGTGCAAGCTTGATATTCCTTTGTTTGTGATATATAGGACTTCAATAATCAACTGCCAAATGACTGCTGCCCATAACCTATCATTTTCATTTGGTAAAAAATTTGAAATTTTCTGAAAGTAGCAGTTTACAGCTGTTTTGAGAACTGTTGTTGCACAAACAAGTGTAAAAATACCTGCAACAATTGTTGTGGGTATATTTCAATCATGATTTCTTGACCTCATGATTTCTTGACCTCATGATTTCAGGGAAATCTGAGAAAAAGTCACTGTGAGGACAAGGCATTGCAAGTTTGATGAATTCGTATATTCATTAGACTCATTTAAATTCACAGATTACAGGATACTCACTCAGATTACCTTTTCAAAACAGCTGATACCATTGAGATTTTTTCCCACTTCTAATAGTAAGTTGCTTGTTTTTCAGGGAGTGACCTAGTCGATTGGATCATGGGCAATATTGCCATTGAGGAAAGAGGTAACATACAATGCATGGTTATATCTAACCCTTCCACTCGCAAGATCTGAATATCAATTTTCTTCCCTGCAGTCTGCCACACAGTTCTCATAGTGGATTGTTTCATCTCTGAGAAGTTGCTGTTAAATCAAACAATATCCCTGGGTTGATATTTTTCTTTCTTCCAAACACCTCTCCACTTGGAATTGTTTTTTTTTTTTT